TCTAAAACAACAAAGAAATGCTCCTGACTGCTAGTCCACTCCAAGTCTGTTTGGAACAGAGTTAAGCACTATTTTAGCTACTTTTCTCATTACTGCGACAAAATACCTGACACCTAAAATTAAGGGAGGAAGGGCTTATCTAGCTCACAGTCTATAGAGCTTTCAGTCCATGACTGGCTTTATAGGTAGGCAATGCAGGACAGAATCAGTCCTCAGAAAGCAGAAAACAGCACAATCAACAGCCCACCTTAAAGTGTCTTTCTGCCCTGTTTATACTCTATCCAGGCGGCTGGGATACGGGCAGTGTCAATCACAGAGAAATGCATCTATTATAGTAGTTAAATATTGGTACATCTAACTTTTTGAGACAGGGTCTCACGGTATAGTCCATGCTAAGCTTGAATTCAGTATGGCCGCTGGCCTCAAACTTGTGATCCTCCTGTCTCAGCCTCCCTAGTGCTGCCAACATCTAATGGCTTTTTTCTGACCCTGGGAATTGACCCTGGCCCCTCTGTGGTGAGCTACATCACCAGGCTTTTTCTGGTCAGAGTCCTGTTAAGTTGCTTGAGACGGTCTTGAACAACCAACCAGTGAGCTGAAACATCCTCAAACCCAGCATTGCACCTTAGACTCAGCCGCCCTGAAGCCCGCCCCGCGGCTGACTGAGGCTGTGGGGGCCATCCAGACACAAACCATACAGCACGCTTTCACACGCACACATGCACATGCAATGGCGACACTGACCCTTGCTCACTGTCATGGAAAAGCTCACTACTCCCTAAAAGAAGATGGACGTTGGTTTCTCTTAGTCTCTGGGCTGCACTTCTAACCTCAGTAGGTCAAAACAGTGAGCAATGTGCCGAGACTCCCCAAGACAGACAGTGAGTGCGCACCTGGCTCCATTTTGCCAGAAAGCACTGACTTCATCATTGTACCTTTTGCAGCACTGTGTCTGGATGTCCAGCTTCCAGTAAGTCTCTGATGTTTTAATTGTTTTCTTTCTTCAAAGGGCTTTTCCTCACGGCCTCCTTTCTCTTCTCCCTGAGCTCCCTTGTGTCCCCCAGCGTTTCTCTGACATTCCTTCCAGGCTTCCAGTTCTTTAGTTACTTTTCTCCGCTCATTTTCCTTCAGATCTTCTATTTTTTTCCTCTCTGCTTCTTCAATCTGTAAAAATCACAATGACCAAATTATTTAAAACATAAAAACAGCAACATTTCTTTAAAGATGAGGTAGCCAGATGCTTGCCTCAGACACACAAGGCTCTCAGTCCAGCACTGTCTTACTTTTTTTTTTTTTTTTTTTCCCTCTGTTAAGACAAAATACCTGACAGCCAAAGGAACCGGGGAAAGGTTTATTTAGCTCACAGTGTCTGGAGGTTTTAGTCCATTGTTGGCTGGCTCCAAGGCAGGTGGCTTGGCAAAGGGCAGCCATTCATGGAGGGCAGAAGGCAGCAAAGCAGCAAGCAAGGAACCCTTGTGTCACCTCCAGGCTACTTCAGGCAGCACTCACACCCTTCATTCTAGTGCCCTTGAGCCTAGCACTGCACCTCGAGTCAATCCCAGCTTCACACACACTAGAACCAGCCAGCTTTGAAAACCCTCACCTACAATTGCATGAGGCTTTGGGTTCCAGAGTTCTTTTCTTTTTGTTTTGCTGTTGTTTTTGTTTTTGTATTGAGGATAGAACTAAAAACCTTACACTTGCCAGGCAGGTGTTTATGCCACTGACCTATCTCCCTGGACTCAGGAGGCTGTGGGAGACATCTTTTTTTTTTTATTTTAATTTTGTTGAGAAACAAATATGAATGAGACGGTTTCAAAGCTGATTAATAGGACAGTTTCGGTAATCGATACATTGTACATTGGTATCTTCTTAGTGGTTATCCATAGTACAAGAAGCAGACAGGATATCCTGTCCAAACACTATTAGTACGCCTCTTTCTTCTCATTGAATTAAGTGAAAGTAGCTGTATCCTAACATTTTGTGTATATATAAATACATAATGATCTTTCCTTTGAATCCATTTTGTTGTTGTTGTTTAGTCCTGTCAGAGGTGGATATTCTATTGGCATCTAAATACTATAGGTGTTTGAATTCAGCAAAACCACCCAACACTGTCTTGCTAGACAGGCCACCGAGCGTCTATAATATTAGTGGGTCATCCTCAGAAGTTATTGACTTGAGTCTTTTACAGCTCATCATATTAATATGGCTTTACTTTATTTTTTTTTTTTATTTTTTTTTGCGGAACCGGGATTTGAACTCAGGCCCTTGTGCTTACCAGGAAAGTGCTTATTCCACTGAGCCATCTCCTCGGCCCCATGGCTTTACTTTATATACCTCTTTTTTATACTTTTCTGCTGGATGGTTAAGACCAAGATAAAGCAAGACCTATATAACAAGAAAAGTAATTTTGTATCTGACAAGGTCAGTCAAGTACCCTCAGGATTTATCCTGTAACGCACTTTGTAGAACCTTTGTCAGTGTCAGCCATGAGAATGAGTCATGACCATTGCTTAACCAATTTGCTCTCTGTGAAAGCCTGAGAGAATGTTTTCTCTCCATGTGACTCTTTTGTGGGAGACATCTAGACACAGCCATAACAGAGAGAAAGAGAGAGAGAGAGCGAGAGAGAGAGACAGACAGACAGACAGACAGACAGAATCTATTAGTTAAATATTATTACATCTAACTTTTTATGAGACAGGATCTCACTGTGCAGTCCATGCTAGGCTTGAATTCAGTGTGACCACCAGCTTTTCTCAAACTTGTGATCCTCATGCCTCAGCCTCCCTAGTGCTACAAACATCTAAGGGCTTGCTATCACATCTGTAGCAATGGTCAGGAATAAAGAGATAACATGAGCTAGGTGTGGTGCTACATGCCAATAATTACAGGACTCAGGGAGGCTGCAGCAGAAAGATCATGAGTTCAAGACCATCTCAAGCAACTTAGCTGGACTCTGACCAGAAAGAGCCTGGTGATGTTGCTCAGTACAAAGGGGCCGGGGTCAGTTCCTACTGCCAGGAAAAAAAAAAAAAAAAAAGTGACAATGTGTGGTGGTGCATACCTGCACTTCTTGCTCCTGGGAAGTCTGTGGCAGGAGGAACAAGTTCAGGCCAGCTTGGGCAACTTAGGGAGACCTTGTCTTAGGAAACTAGAATAGCAGCGTGTGGCTCAGTGGTAGAGCACTGTCAGTGCTTTCTTAGGATACATGAGGACCTAAGCTCAATGCACAGTACCAAAGATCATTCATTAATTGAAAGGGGGAAGGTACATGTATTAGGAGCGCACCCTGACGTGGAGGTCATGGAACACAGGGTTTAGTCCCAAGCCTACCATTAACCATCGATAGGTCCTGAGTACCACTTGGTGAAAAGAGGACTTTCAGATTCTCAGGGTCATTCCTCCAAAGCTACATGTCTTTCCCTGGGATGTACGCACATGTCTGCTTGCCTCTAGCTCAGGGCTCCCTAGCATGGGGCTGGAGCTGTGCCCACCCCATCTGAGGAGATGTGGAGTAGATGTAGACAGGATAAGGCAGTTGGTCTCTGATGGAGAGAGCTGAGCTCCAGTCCTGCTGCCACCGTGTGTGCTCTGGTGGTCAGCACTGTCCCCGGAAAAGGCACATACCCACAGACTGTAAGGTGCTGTCTCGAGCAGGGCTACCGAGCCGACCACGCCTGGCCTTCCCATGGCAAGGCGTTTTCTGCAGTGACCACCATGTCCTGTGCTGCCCAATACAGCCACCTCTGGCCACACACAACTCACTGAGCTATGACTGACAATACAAGCTTAAACTCGACTCAAGTTTGACCAGCACAGATTTAAATTACTTGATATTTTTGTGGTGCTGGAAATTGAACCCAGGACCTTACCTGTGCTGGGCAGCGTTCTACTATCAAGACACACTCCTAGGCGCCTTTCGTCTTTTCGAGGAGGGTCCCACTAAATTGCTCCAGCTGGGCCTCAGCCTTCTGAGTCCTGGTGATTACAGCATGGATCACGGCCCAGCCTATATTTAGGAACACATCTGGAATGATTCAAGAACTAGAACGCTGGAGCCAGAGGTTGTGTCACATCAGGACATGGACTGCGGAGGCATGAAAGCTGCACTGAGGTGGTCTGTAACCCCAGCTTAGGCTCGGGGCTTCCTCTACACAGCCTGGAATCTCTTTTGGTACTGGGAATCGATCTCACCTCCTCGCAGTCCCCAGGCAGGCACTCCACTGCTGAGCTGCATCCTGGCCCCATCACAGTCTAGTACTCTTAACACTCCTTCAGTTCCTCTTCTGTGGCCAGGCATGGTAGCACACGCCTGTCATTCAGCACTCGGGCCAGCTTGCACTACAGAGAGAGACACTGCTTCTCCCCCAAATCCAAACAACTCTTTATGAAGACTGTTTTTCCAATTGAACTGGGAGACACTGACTTTATTTACTTATTTATTTACTTAGGCAGAAGCGGGGATTGAACTCAAGCCATTGCGTTTGCCAGGCAAGTGCTTCTTCTACTGAGCTATCTCCCTGGCCCAGATATTAACTTTAAATTTCACAGGATTTTGTTGTTGTTTTGAGACAGGGTCTCACTCTGTTGTCCAGGCTGGCCTTGAACTCATTATGTAGCCCAGGCTGATCCCAAAGCTCACAATGATCCTCCTGCCTCAGGTTCCTGAGTGCTGGGACTGAAGGTGTGTTCCACTATGCCAAGCTCACAGGATATTATTGAATGGGGCCCTCTTGTATTCCCCAGGTAACTGCTGTGGTATGGGTGTGGCTTGTCCCCATGGGCCCTGTGTCAGGGACTGAGTCCCCTAGGCTGTGGTGTAGATGGCAGGGCCTACAAGGTATGGCCTAACCCAGGCATCCTGGTGCATACCTGTAATCCCAGAACCCTGGGAGGCTGAGGCAGGAGGAACTAAAGTTCAACCCAGCCTGAGAAGTTTAGCAAATTAGGGAGAACCTGCCTTAAAAAGTAAAAATAAATTTTAAAAGGCTGGGTTTGGAGCATGGTGTTAAGAGCCTGGGTCCACCCTAGGGCTGAGCAGACAGTAGTATGCTCTAGTGAGGAGTCTTGCAGGCACTGCCTCCAGAAGGACAGGAGATGGTTTGGCTGGGACCCCAGAACTCTTGGCTTCCCATCTTCAACGGGACCTCTGCTCCCACAAGTGGCTTCTGCTCTGCTGCCCACACAGCCCCTTCCCAAGGCCCACTACACTCAGCCCAAACGCTGGCCAAATAAACTTATTTTCTTTATAATGTTACCTAGCTTCAGGTATTTTGTTAAGAATATCAGACTAGCCTTCTAGCACAGCAACCATTGAAGAAGAGCAGCCATGGGCCTCCGCTATCCCATGGCCGTGGGCCTCAACAGGGACCACAAGGTGACTAAGAATGTAAGCAAACCGAGGCACAGCCACCTCCACGGACGTCTCACCAAACACACCAAGTTCGTGTTGCACATGATCTGGGAGGTGCGTGGCTTCGCCCCCTACAAGAGTCTTGCCACAGAGCTGCTCAAGGTCTCCAAGGACAAACACACCCTCAGGCTCATCAAGAAAAAAGCTGGGGATGCACATCCATGACAAGAGGAAGCGTGAGGAGCTGAGCAACGTGCTGGGCTGCCATGAGGAAGGCAGCTACCAAGAAGGACTGAGCCCCTCCGGAATAAAGCTTTGCAGAAAATTTAAAAAAAAAAAAAATCAGACTAATGTATCCATGAGGCTTAAATTAAGTGACACAGCAAGCAGAAACACCACAACGCTACCCAGAATTTGGAAGCAGATATATTTTCCATTGACGGGAACTGATTAGGATCATCCCCAGAATATCAAGCCCCAATCTCTGATGGTATCAGGCTTCTCTGAGACAGGCAAGCAGGAAGTGCAGAGGCAAAACAGCTTATCCAGGGCCAGGGAGATGGCTCAGTGGAATAAGCTCTTTCCTGGCAAGCACAAGGACCTGAGTTCAATCCCCGGTTCCGCAAAAAAAAAGAAAAAAGAAAAAAAACCAAAAACAAAACAGCTTATCCACTGGGGACTGGCTTACATGACACACACCACAGTGATCAGCTATGCATCACAACTGCTAAGAGACAGAAGCAACCAGCACTGGGAACAGAAACTGTTACCTAGGTAACCAACAGACTGCAGTACACTGGCTAGGCTGGGGGGCAGGACTTCTGCTACCTAAGTAGGTTACAGTTCTAAATCTAGAGAAGCACCATGAGCTGCCAACAAGACAGGAGGAGAAGGTCCTGCATGTAGCAATGAACGAGCATTTACATGCTGACAAGAGGGAAGTGATGGCTGCATTGGTGGGGTGCACCCGTGGCCCCAGTGAGTCTGGAGGCTGAGGCAGGAGGATTCAAGTTTGGGTCCAGCAAGGGCAGCTTAGATCCAGTCTCAAAATAAAAAATGAGGGGCCGGGGAGATGGCTCAGTGGAATAAGTGCTTCCCTGGCAAGCGCAAGGACCTGAGTTCAATCCCCGGTTCCACCAAAAAATAAAAAAATAAAAAATGAAGTACAGAGGATGTAGCTCAGTGGTAGAGCATTGAACCTAGTTCATTCTCAGTATTACAGAGAGAGAGAGAGAACAGAAAAGAGGTTAGGGGGCCAGGCAAATAGCTCAGTGGACTAAGGCACCTGAAAGCAGGCACAGAGGCTGGGGGTTCGATCCCCAGGCCTGCCATGCCAGCCCCGCCTCCATAGCACACTGAGATGACAATTGAGACTGGGTGTGGTGGGGTGTACCTGTAATCTCAGCTCTTGGAAGGCTGTAAACAGGAGGATCACTACAAGTCTGATCTAGTAGTGAGACCCTGAACACCGTAGACCCTTCCCTAAAAATACCAAAAAAAAAAAAAAAAGGTTAGGCAGTTACAAGCTAAAAGAAGAGGACCACTTCTTTTAGCTTGAGTGTTAAACAGAGAGGATCTTCCTGTTTAACAGGAAGTTGTCTTAGTCATTTTCCTCACTGCTGGCCACAGCAGCTGATGCCCACAAGAGAAGAGGTTTATTTTGGCTCACAATTACACTCCTTAGACAGCAAGGCCTTATAGTAACACCAAAGGGTCTGCAGGATGTTCAGGGTCTCATTACTAGATCGGACTTGTAGTGATTCTCCTGTTTACAGCCTCCCAAGAACTGGGATTACAGGCATGAGCCACCAACCCCACTCTCAATTGCTGTCTCAGCAAGCCCTGGGGGCAGGGCTGGCATGGCAGGCCCGGGATTGAACCCCTGCCCCTGCCCCTGCTTGCAGGCACTTTAATCTGCTGAGCTATATGGCCAGCCCTCATATTTTATACATGATTGCCCCTAAACCTCCTTAGCAAATACCAAAATTAGGCATTCGTTCATCAGCTGGTGAAAAATTTTGTGGGATAGCAAGTATTGTTGCCTGCCAGTCAATCTTGTAGTCATGTTGTACTTACCAATACAGCACATGTACATGTACCATTATTTAACTATTCCTTTAGTTCAAGAGGAGCTGGGGATTTGGCTCAGTGGTAGAATGCTTTCCTAGCAAACTTGAAGTCCTGGGTTCAGTCCTCAGCACCAAACACAAAAATAAACCTCTCCTAAAAAACAATTCAACCAAAATAATACAGCAAAATCTTTAGTTCAAGAAATGTTTACCTGTTACCATATATTTTACATTATCCTGCTTTTTAAAAAAATTTTCAAGGGCCAGCCAAATAGCTCAGTGGATTAAAGCGCCCGCAAGTAGGCACAGGGGCTGGGATTTGACCCCGGGCCTGCTGTGCCAGCCCCACTGCTGGGGCACACTGAGACGGCAATTGAGACTGGGCGTGGTGGCACAGGCCTGTAACTCCAGCACTTTGGAGGCTATGAACAGGAGGATCGCTGAGTCTGATCTAGTAGTGAGACCCTGAATGCCCTGTAGACCTGTCCCTAAAAAATACAAAAAGAACAGATAATAATGAAAATCAAAAGGCTGAGAGTCATGATAATAAAATCAAAGTGGACATCTTCATCAAAACTAAAAGGGAGGCCAGCCAGGTGGTCCTGAGTCCAGCTCCTAAGGACAGGACCACGAGTCGAGCTCAAGTTGTGCTTCACAGCCAGGCACAGGAGATGCAAGCAGCAGAGATCTCAGCAACTGGGAACTGTTGATCTTAAAAAATTTTTGTAAAGTGGAAATTAACACTTTATGTAGTTTTTACATGTTGTAATATTTCTTCAAATACATCATTCCTATAATACAAAAAAAAAAAAAAATCCTTTGTAAAAAGAAAAAATAAAAAGCTAGGGCCGGGGAGATGGCTCAGTAGAATAAGCACTTCCCTGGCAAGTGCAAGGGCCTGAGTTCAATCCCTGGTTCCATTAAAAAAAAAAAAAAATTTGTAAAAATTATGCAGAATAGGGAAAGTGATAGGTTAGAACTCGCCTGGGATTAGGCATCAAGGAAGCAGATACTGCCTCTTTTTTTTTTTTCCTGCGATACTGGGGATTGAACTCAGGACTGAGCTATCTCTGCAGCCTAGCACTGACTCTTAAGGCACTGAGTTTCTTCTGAGGGTGAGGAAAATGACCTAAAATGACCTTGATGAAGTTTGCACAACACCGAGTAATTAAAAGCCGCTGAGTTACACATTTTACATTAGATTTTGAAATTTTTTTAAAGACAAATCTCTCCATGTAGTTCAGGCTGGCCTTATACTTTCTTCTGTAACCCAGGCTGGCCTCAAACTTACGGTGATCCTCCCGCCTCAGCCTCCCAAGTGCTGGGATCACAGGTGTGTGCCGTCACACCCAGGCACATATTTCTCTTAGTGGCTGTATCTTTAATTTGTGTAATGAACTAACTCTGCTTTTTTTCTTCTGAACAGATATATATTCTAATGGCTCAATTGTATGGCACATGAATTATATAAATATATAAACATATATATATATATTATTATTTTTTTTTTTCCTGTATTTTAGACAAGGGTCTACAGGGTGTTCAGGGTCTCACTACTAGATCGCACTCATAGTGATTCTCCCGTTTACAGCCTCCCAAGTGCTGGGATTACAGGTGTGCGCCACCATGCCCAGTCTCAATTGCCATATCAGCACACCCCAGGTACGGAGCCAGCATGGCAGGCTTGGGGATCAAACCCCAGCCCCTGTGCCTGCTTGCAGGCACTTTCACCCATTGAGCTATCTGGATTTTTTTTCTTCATGAATTACATCTCAAAAATATACTGCTGAGGGAACTACCCGCTCGGGCCCCCCTCCTGTCCCTCTCTTGGACAGGAGCTTTCTTTCTCTCAATAAATATATTCTGCTCATACTATATATACATATATATTGCTGATTAAATCCCTCACCTGAAAGTCTCAACCAGTTAAAAAGATACTGATCATTATCTAGTATTTCACGTTTATTTTTTGCTTTAAACAATTATGTCTGTTATCTTAAGATTAAAAAGAAGTAAAATACACCATAGCAACTTTATGAGATGGGATCCCATTACACTGACCAGGCTGTCCAGGCTCAAGTGATCTTCCTGCCTCAGCCTCCAGGATAGCTAGGAGTCCAATGCATAGCACCAGGCCTGGCTTACGGTCCAACTTTTTTTGGTTTTTTGGAAGCAGGGATGGCACTCAGGCCCTTGTGCTTGCCAGGGAAGCACTTACTCCACTGAGCCATCTCCCCGGCCCTTACTGTCCGACTTTTACACTCTTAACTTTCATACAGATTTTCAGGTGGGCAGTAAGCAGCCTGTGGCCCAGCAGTAAGTCCTACAGCCACACGCTGAGTGCGGCAGTGGCTAGAACTATCTTCAAATCTCTTACCATTATCCTTAGAAGGCTTTCCAGCAACCTGCACTTACCTTCATCATGACATTCAATGTGTATTTTTGATCTTCCCGTCTTGCTGTAGCTTTCGCTTCTGTAGCGTCCTTTGCTCTCTCTTGTGCTTGTAAAATAGATTTTTCTCTTATTCTCTGCATCGTCTCTTTGTCAGCTACAATATAAGGGATTGTGATGAACTGGTCTGACTTAGGAGACAACCACTCACCACGTGGGCTATGATGAGGTCTCTTTTGATGCAGCTTCATAAAGGTAAAAACATAGTTCTAGTATGGAAGTGGCCAAGAAGCTAACACTGAAAGATCAGCAATTACCGTAATCATAATGAAAACGAAGAAGGGGGGATGAGCCGGGAGAGAGCCACAGGGAAGGGGGAATGAGGAGAAAGAAGGACAGGATGGGAGGCGAGGGCATGAGAACACATTCACCCTCCTCTGTTGGGAAATGAGGGCTGTCTGCCAGTAAGCTTGTTACAATAAATCGTCCTTGTAAGGTCTCCTACAAGAAGACTGGTGGAGCTCACCTGAACGGATTGGTCAAAACATAGCATGGTGCTATGGGTGGGGTGGTGGTGCATTCCGGGAAGCTGAGGCAGGAAGACTGCAAGTTTGAGCCCAGTCAAGGCAACTTAGTAGCTCAATGAGACCCTGTTTCAAACTAAAAAAGTATAATTTTAAAAGGAATGGGTAGGTAGTTCTATGAAAAAGTCCTGAGCTCAATCCCCAGGGCTAAGCAGCGTGGCAACTTGTGCATATGGAAAGGAAGGCGTCACTCCAGGAAGAACTGGGGCACATTACGTCCAGAACATTTGGTTTTGGCAGTGGGGACTGAACCCTGAGCTATGCCCTGGGCCACATCCTCCCCCTTTTTTGTTTTTGAGGCAGGGTCTCACTAAGTCATTGAGCTGCCAGGGCTGGGCCCAAATTTGTGAGCCTCCTGCCTCAGCCTCCCAGGGCTAGAGGTGTCTGGATTCATTGTGGCTCAAACCACAGCCTGTGATCCACTACTAAGGGAAGTAAATAGTTGGACCCCCGGGAGAAGGTCTAGTGTTGGGTAGAGGGCAGTGGGTAGAAAACCTGGAGGGCTTGCCAGTGGAGGAGGCAGGAGGAGGGTGGTGGGGAGGGATGAACTGTGGCCAGCACAGGCTCTGGCCTTCTGCACATGACAGACCTTCTGGCAGAGCAGTTACTTCAGCTGCCTCACAGAGCCACACCCCTTCTGCGTCCTCCTGTGCTGCCCGGGACTTATGCAAGTGGCTCCCAAAGAGCCACTCACCTCAGGTGGATGCTGTAGGGAAGGGGTTTGGGACATGCTGCTGGGCAGTCGCTGCTCTGTGACGCAAGCAGAGGCCTTCTCTTAGCCCCTCCAGGCTGCTTGGGCCTGGACCCTAAGCACCCCCCCCCCCAGCTGCCACACGTTTCCCCGCCAAAGAGGAAAGCAGAGCTAACACTTCAGAGCTAAACTGTCTGCCCTCCTGCACAGTCGGCCTTCCGGCCCTCCACCCACATCAGGGGTGCGCTTCCTTCATCTAGCCCCCAGACCTGAGCCCATACGCTATCTCAAGCACTTGTTTCCCATAACACCCAGCTTTCCCAGAGTTTGAATTTGCATACTTGCAACATATATGATGTAGTTTCTTTTAGGCCAATCAGTAATAATGAATTGAAGCACCTCCTTAGCAAGTGCAGCGGACAGGGGCTCAATCCCCTGCACCACAGGCAGAGCCCACCCTGCACGTGGGTCCACTGAGCCAACCACAGAGACTAGGCAGAGTGGTGCATACCTGCAATCCCAGCACTGGCAGGCTGAAACAGGAGGTTATTGCAAGTCCAAGCTGTGTAGTGAAACACTACCAAATAGCAAAAGCAAAACATAATAGCTTAAAAAAATAAAAAAGGGCCGGTCAAATACCTCAGTAGATAAAGGCTCAGGGGCTGGGGTTTGATCCTGGGGCTGCCATGCCAGCCCCACCCCCAGGGCATGCTGAGACTGAAATTGAGACTGGGCATGGTGCTGCACTTGGGAGGCTGTAAACAGGAGAATCACTAGAAGTCTGATCTAGTAGTGAGACCCTGAATATCCTGCAGACCCTTCCCTAAAAATAATAAAAAAAAGAGTTTAGATGTAACCAATCAATAACTGCCAAATACTCTGCTCTGTACTTCTTGCTTGCAAATATGAGGCTTCCAATACCAAAGAGCAGGGCCTGCTTATTTGGTGATGGATGGAATCCCTATCAGCCCTGTCAACATAAAATAAACCTGTCTCCAAATCCTGGGTGTTGTTTCAGTGTTTCTCTTGCCACTGGACTTCCTGAACAACTAACAAAATTTTCTCTTCTATTCCCCAGGCTGCCTCCAACACCCAGGCTCAGATGATCCTCCTGCCTCAGCCTCCTGAGTCGTTGGGACTAGATGGGCTGTCTTCACCCTACTGGCACTCATTCTCCTCACAGGACAAGAGCCCAGAAGTCGGGCCCACAGCCTAGCCAGCTCTGATACAGATGCTCACCATCGCGTTGTCCTCCCTAAACCCCAACCGCCCCAGGCAGCTTACACACCCGCCCTCACTGTCCCACATTAAGAGGGTCCACGTGAACCTTCAAATCTCACCCCTTTGTTTGGGTTCACTTTTCCCTGACACTCTCAAGCACACGTTTTAATCTGAACATATTTTACTTTTGAACATATTTTAATTAAAAAAACCTACCACCTGACATGGAAAGCGCCTCCCACATGACTGCTTCTTTTTTATATAAGGTGAAGACAATAGCATCATTTCCAATCTTTGCTTTGCTGCTCCCGTCATCTATGGGAGCATAGAGGAATGCCTCAAATAGATATGGGGGGAAATTGACCTGTTCAGGATAAAAAGCAGTTAGTTAATCACACAAATTAAAGACAGCCATTAAAAGAAATGTGTGCCTGGGCACGGTGGCACACACCTGTGACCCCAGCACTTGGGAGGCTGAGGCAGGAGGGTCTCTGTGAGTTTGAGGCCAGCCTGGGCTATACAAGAAAGAAAGAGGAAGAGAGGAAAGGGAAGGGAGAGGTAGAGGGAGGGAGCAAGAAGACAGGAGGGGGAGAAGAAAAGAAAAAATAGGAAAGGAAGGCGATTCCAAGATAGCCTTCTTTGAGGCCCCTCTAGGTAGCAACATTTTGCACTGCCTCTTATCCCAGCACTCAGGCTGAAACAGAACTTCCTTGAGTTCAAGGCAGCCTGGGCTACATAGTGAGACAAAGTGCCAAAAAAGCCACACATGAGGCAGGCCTGGACACAAGTAATCTCTGATCTTGTAACAGTTGTGGACCGAGGATGTGATATACCCTGCGTGGAATTCCCTTTCTATTAAATTTATTTATTTAAGTTTGTGGTGCTGAACTCAGGCATTGAACTCAGGACCTTCACAATGAGCTACACTCCCAAACTTTTTTTGAGACAGAGACTCAGGGCTGGTGCTGCACGTGGTGCCGGGGATCAAACCTGGTCCCAGAGCTTGCCTAAGCAGGCCTTCAGTCTGCTGAGCTATTTCGCTGGCCCATCTGCTCCTTTTTGTATTGTCTGAAGACACACTGAAGATAGCTCAGGCAAGGCACTCAGGAGAACCTCTGTGCTCACCAAAGCCTCCACGGGTAAACACTCACTTTTACCAACTCACGTGCTTTTGAAGGGGCTGCTTACTGAGTCTGGTGAACCCTGTTTTCCTTCCCCTTCTCCTCCAGCTTGGCACTATCAGGTGAAACCTGAGCCTAGACTTTCCAAAAGTTTTTTTTTTTTTTTTTTGGTCTTTTTTGAGACAGGGTCTGCAGTTCAGTTGGCCTTGAGCTCATTTTGTAGCCCAGGCTGGCCTACTGACAACAACCCTCCTGCCTCAGCCACCAAAGTGCTGGAATTACACGCATGGACCACCACATCCGGCTTTTTTTTTTCTTTGAGACAGGACAACAGGACCTTACTTATGTAGCCCAGCTTTAAACTCAAAATCTTCCTGCCTCAACCCCCAAATTCTGGGATTATGAGCAGTTGGAATTCATTTGGTTTTGTTTTTTGATCTCATACTTTATTTCTAAGATTTATTTTATTAACACATATTTGCAATGCATGAGCTTTATGTTCATATTAAGTGGCGGCCACATGTGCTTAACGTACCTTGATTCTTTTATTTCCCTTGCCCTACCCACCCACTCACCCTCCGACTTAGGTTCTATTTTCCCATTATTTTATTAAGTTCATGTTTGTGACATACACTGATTGATCACATTCATTATGGTAGGTGGTAAACTAGCATCTGAAATGTTTTTTACATCCCATCCCCCTACCCCTCCTGCGTCTCTTGGTCGCCTCACCGTTTGCAGAGATCTATCGCCTTGTTTCCTTTTACCAATCTTTTATTTTGGTCTTTTTTAAAATAATTTTTTATTGAGAAATAAATATGAATGAGACAGTTTCACAGCT